GCACAAGGACGACAATATCTCAACTTCCGTTTCAACAGTTCGATCACGGATAAATCTACAGGCGCTGCATCCATCGGTACGTATGTCTTTGTATAGAATAACAAGAATAACCAATTTCATTCTCCAGCTGCTTGAGGTATGCAACAGTGGAACAGAAGGTATGAATAGAATGCTATTCTTACGATAACGAGCACCTCGTATTTCGTAAATTGTTCTAACATATTAGCGTTCCTGTATCAGGAATAATCTCATGTATAAGATCCTAGCTGCCCATTAAATGGTAGTACTCTTGTAATTGAACTATTAATTAAACTTAGCTAAGCAAAAAAAATTCCATTTTTATATTCAAACTTGTTTTTATCAGAGCATTAATTAAGACCAAATAGTGATTTGGTTTTATTCATCTGCTACTATTTTCTGTGTTTCTTTGATAATTATAAACTAAAGTTTTTTTTTCAGCTTTTTAAAGACAGAAGTACTAAGAAACAGTTTAAACATGTGTGTTCGTTTTATAACAATTAGAATTAGTTATCAATAACGATAAGAAAAGTTTTGAAACAAAATATAAACAAAGAAAATAGAATACAAATATAATCAAAGAAGTTTTAATAACTTTAAGATTATAGGTAAATCAAACGAACATACAAAAAAGTTCCATTTAGTGTTATTTATCTGCATCACATAATTGAAAAGCAAACGTTTTAGGTCATTTTAAATGTGTTTACAATTTAATCGAAATTCATGATAATTTTCTTATCCTCTTAAGATAGATAAACGTCCAACTGTTGGGGGTTCTTGAGTTGTTAAAATTAGTTAAAGAGTTTCAGTAAATCAATATACGTCAACAAAAACAATATCAGTTCATAGAGTGGTAGGTCTACGGACTTATACTGCTAGAAACCGGGTTTGGATACCAGTGGTGAGCAGAGCACAGATAGCCCTTTGTGTAGCCTTGTGCTTAATCACAAACAACAACATCATACAGAAACGAGGTGAAGGACAAATCAAAATTTCTAACACTCCTTACAGAACAGGTTTCTTATGTGTTTGTAATGATTGTGTAAATTACATCCTGAGAATTCCCCAGTTCAGATGTAAGAATGTAATATTATTAACTTTATCAAACTCCTTCATGTAAGTTGTAAAACCAGTCTACTGACCTTGAACTGTGTCATATGTTAATGGTGAATGATCATATATTGAAATACATTTGTTAGCAATGAGAAGACTTTTGTCCTTCATGGCTCACCACGAAGGGCAGAGCACAGTATTGTTACGTCTACGTTTGTTAATTAATTTTTCGTAAATTCGTTCCGACGAAACTTTAGCGACACAAGTCCTTTCTTAAATAAAATTGGTTTATTCTTTTTCAATACAACTTTACCGATACACTTAATTTCAACAGTCGCTCTATAACAAACGCAAGAACGTCTCACGTGCTCGTGCTCGACAATACTCAGTTCAATAACACAATACCTCTCTGACTGCAGTTCAATTACTCACTACTTCCCCGTCGCTTCGTGGCCGGTCTTATATATGCAAGACTAACACATATCTAGTAAATGCTAGGGCATTCATGAAGGAACAGGAAATTTCTAGAAACAGGTGGCGTGATACTAGTCACGTGACCTCGCTGACGCAACAGTATTATAGCTCATTCTGTGGTTTTGTGCTTAACCAGTGCTTTTAGTGGGGGAAAAAAGGAAATGGGGTGGTTTCTTGAATTTGAAAAAGAAGAGAAAGTCTAATTGATTTTTGTATAAGTTTAGATTAGGTCAACGTTTATCGGCCTGAAATAGGCACTCTGAATTTATATAGCTTATTAACTAAATTTGTTTCATTGTCGCATCTTGTTCTCCTTACTGATGGGAAAAAGAGGGTGCAAAAAAGTACTGGGGCAGTTTAAGTCTACTAAAAGGTAGCGGGATGGTTTCGGGCCCTCCTGAATAGAAATGGGATGGCATTCCGCCTCATCCCGCCCCACTTCAAGCACTGTGCTTAACAAAACAAAAAAAAACAATGAGGGAAGCTTTCTGATATAATCATTTATGCACGTTTATCAATCATTATATAAATTATTTCCGAAAGTATCATTGTTCTGATTTTGTCAAGCTTCAAAGAATGCTTTTATTACGTCTATAGATATCATTAACATTATCAGCAAGTCTTTTCTCACAGCTAACTTGTATTTGACTTACTTCAGCCCGGCATGGCCAGGTGGTTAGGACACTCCACTCGCAGTCTGCGGGTCGCGGGTTCGAATCCCTATCCCACTAAACATGCTCGTCCTTTCAGCCGTGGGACGTTATAATGTGATGGTCAATCCCACTATCGGTTGGTAAAAGAGTAGCCCAAGAGTTGGCGGTGGGTGGTGATGACTAGCTGCCTTCCCTCTAGTCTTACACTGCTAAATTAGGGACGGTTAGCGCAGATAGCCCTCGTGTAGCTTTGCGCGAAATTCCAAACAAACAAACTTGACTTACTTCAATTTTTCTACATAATTTTCAAATAAGTTGTTGCATAAACTAGTAGACGTGAGATAACCACATTCTAATAATGAACGACGTGAATACAGTGTTGTTTATAATTATGGCGAATGTAATGTCTTTGAGTTAAAACTTTTTCGACAAATTGATCAAAGGGTTGCAAAATATTATTGCGATGTTCCAGGGACGAAATTAATATATGGCTTGATAGAAAACATTTGTTTTTGCAGCAGTATAAATGGTTATATTCAATGTCTACTATGATTTAAAAACGAGAGATTATCTTAACATATTTCTTGAAAGGTGCATTCAATTAAAGCGCATTTTTTCCTGTAAATTTCTGTGGCGGCAAAAGCGAATATCAAATATCAAACGAACTTTTTGAGATGCCCCACACAGTAAGAAGTGTTTTTTTTTAATTCGATGTGTATATGTTTGCTATCAGTAATGAAGGCACATTTTCCGCCACTCAGGCGTTTTAGATACAGCCGACTCGCTATCTGTGGGTCGCGGGTTCTAACCGTATGACTACCGGTACTAACTTTCTTAGTAGGCAATGCAAGTGTGCATTTATGAATTGAAAAAATGATAAAGAACTTATCTTTTAATGAATTTCTGATTTTATTTTTATAAATAGTAGCATAACATTCAATTATTTGTACAAAATTGTATTCTTTAATGAAGTTTAAAGAGGAATTTAATGAACAAATTCCTAAAAAAAGTTTTAGACTGTAAATAAGCGCCCTCTACGAAGAAATGTTTTTTTTTCAAAAATTTTTTTAAGATATTTCCTTTCACCTCAGCACTGGTTCTGCCATCTATGATTGGTGTCTAAACCTTTTTCTAGTCTGTTTTCTTTATAAAACTGCGTCTGGGCGTGTTAAACCTCAGTTGTAAAACTATTAGCCAATCCTAGTCGAAAGTGTCAATTTCAGTACCAATTATTCCAATTGCTGTATCTCCCATTTGACAAATCATAGGATGATAAGGAAAGCACGTGATGAAACGTTGTTCTCTGGATTTTATAATATGAATGTGGGTGGTGCTTATTATAGTAACAGCCATTTTATGTAGAGGTTGTATTTAGTACTGGCCAATAGGGCTTTTCTATAAGCGTTAGAAAAGTTGCTTCTGGAAAAAACTGCATGGGATATATGTGACTTTTATTTTTCCTATATAGTAGCTTAAGTCATGCTGCATGGTATATCTGTTTATATTAATCATTATATTGAAAAATTAACTCAAAATAAATATATTTTTTAGGAAAGAAGTTGATCCACCATTGTTAGGGTTAAGAGTTACCGAGTGGCGAGTGCAAAGTCTTTACATGAATTAGACTTAGGACTTTGAA